TCCAGTTTTCAAAATAAGCTGGTCTATGGAAATAGGTACTTTTCCGATTGTATGTGTGTACTTGTACGTATGAACTATCAGTACAAGTATACATAAGTTTACAAAACTTAATGTATACACAGTCATAAGCATGCAGAGTATTAAAAATATTTCATGTTTAAACAGCATTGTGTGTGTCGGACGTTACAGTATGAGTACGTACAAAATCACACATTACTTTATATATTTTGGTAACCTGTATGAGACTGCACACATACAACACAGCCGCACTTACTTTTATTTCAACGGTTTTGCAGTCTAGCTGTGGGATTCTAATGGCTCTGTGCATGCAGAGGTATGAATTTGCATATCAATGATCCATCAGGAGTATGTCTGAAAGTGAATCTTCTGTGCAAGAAACGCACAGAAGCTATACCCTGAATGTGCAAATTGCTGAATTTTATAGTATCATTTTTCAGTGAAGTGTCAGAAAGCTGCCTGAAAGCGAACCTTAGGTGCACGAACCGCACAAAAGCTATTGCACATTTTGGTAGCACCGTTTCAGTAAAGTGCCAAAAATCTGACTTGTGCTGCTTTTTTCGTAAATTGATTGGTAATGCACGCGAAAAAAAATTTAAAACAGATTGCACGAGATCAAGTTTTATTTTGCAAATGCTTACAAAATACCAAACACTTCAGAAAAACAGCGGCTATTAATTCATTAACATGATCAATAATTCAGGATAGTTTGCACAAATTTGTATTTAGTTTACGATTGTCATCAGTAATCCAGAATTACCTGTAGTCTGTACAATATTTCGAAGTTGGCGCACAAGTTTGTCGCACGCACGCACGAGTCGCAAGTGCTTCCGAAAATTCAAGGAATCTTGCACAAGATCGGCATTTAGAGGTATAGTAAAATAAAAATAAATTTTTCTACCAATTGTACGAGTACTATTTTAACAAAATCTCACATTTTTGCACTTTTGTAACGAACATCTGGTCGTTTTCTAAACTCAAACTTTGGAGTTTTTCGTTTTTGGTTTCCCATAGACTTAGCATAGTTTTTTAAAAAAAACTGACACTTTTTGTAAGTGTAATCTGGGAGATTTTTATCGGTTAAGCTTAGATTAAGAAAACTGCCAAAATTTCACTCTTTAAAAAATTATAAAGTGCCCATAATCTGACCTTTGGCGAGCGTTTTCTGAAATTTGATTAGTAGTGCATTCAAAAAATTCAGGACAGACTACACGAGATCGGGTTTTATTTTGCAAATGCCCACAAAATTCTAAACTCTCACTAAGAGACTTCGGCTTTTGGTTCAATAGTACCGAAGATATTTCAGGTTAGTTTGCACAAAATTTGTCTTTAATTTACGATTGTCATCGATAATTCAGAATAGTCTGTACGACATGCATTTATTTCGCGGTTGGCGCAGACGTTTATCATTTGATTCAAAAGTGCGCTAAAAAATTTAAAGATGGCGCTCAAAACCGGCGTTTGATTTATAAGTGACCACAAAAAAATGGAGCAAAGCGCGTATAAGATTGTTGGTATATGAATCATAGCGCTTATAAAAATTTACAAAATCTCGCGCGTGATCGGCATCTACAGACGTTGTAGAGTAAATGTAAATTTTTCTACCAGTTTTACAAGTACTGTTTTAACAAAATTCCCGAATTCTGATCTTTTGTAACGGCCATTTAGCAGTTTTTTGAATTCAAATTATCGTGTCTTCTCTTCTGTTTCCTATAAACAGCATAGCTTTAGGAAAACAACTGGCACTTTTCAAGTGTGATTTTGGAGTTACTTATCGAGTTAACTCTTTACACGGAAAATGGCGATTTTTGATAGTATAAAACCGAATAAAGCATAAAAAACTTTACCAAAAAGTGAAATTTTTTTACTGTGTATCAGCTCCGCTTATAGTTATCACAAAATTTTTGAATCACAATAACCGAAACTGTTCTTTAACCCGGTTTCACGAGTTGTGTTTTACGAAAATTAGTTTTTAATTTTTTTTAATGTCAAAACTTTGTTCTCAAGTAAATTTTGTTGCACGTTATTCGTGCAAGGACCATACCCCGAGTGCGGTTTTGAAAAGGTTTTGTACTGTCAGGTTTTGAAAACAGTACATTTTCAATAAGTTGATAAAAACCCGTACGAGGTGAATTTTTGTTTTGTGCACGGATTGCAAAAGCAATACTCTGAGAGTGCAAAATGTCGAATTTTGATAGTTTGATAAAGAATGAAAAATCTGACTAAAGTCAAGTCCTTCCTGTGCATGAATATCACAAAAACTATACTCTGAGTGTCAAGACGCAAAATTCTGATAGCCTTGTCTCAATAAAGTGTCAAAAGATTGTCTAAAAATGAGTCTTTGCTGCATGAACCGCACAAAAGCTATAACACATTTTGATAGTACGTTTTTATTAGAGTGTCAGAAATGTAAATTCCGTTGTAAATTTCCTGCTTTGACTATGGAGCAATAGCGAACAGTTGACTTTGTACATTCAAAATTCACAATAATTGCCCAGTACGGGGTTTCGCTTTACAACTACTATAAAAATCTGAAAATAGTTTAACGAGATCCCTTTTGTTTCACAAAATCAAGTAAATTCTGAATAAATGGCAGTTGTTCAGCTTTTTCTTTGAGCGTTTCGCAAAACCTAAAACTCTACTCTGTTAATGTTTGGAAGTATGCTTGTTCAATTAACTCTGAGCATAAAAAATGTCAAAAAAAAAATTTGAAAGCTGATAATCTGATAGTGTCCAAACCTTCGATTAACAATAAGTTTTGTGGAAATGGTCAGTTCACGTATTGTTTGCCCTAATCGCAACTGACCGATCAAATCATAAAATTTAAATTTGCTCAACGTGTCTATTTCTCTAAACTTTATGTGAGGTCCTGTAGTGTAGTAAGAATAAGAAGTTATCAACAACTGCTTCATGGTCGCACAGATCCAAACTGGATGCATTTTGCGCCTTTTACGCCTTCAGCCTGCATTATTTTTTCCGAATGTGGCTTTGCTAGTTATCAAAAACTTCGGTTAAAGAAAAACTCAGCTTTAAACTGGTGCATAGAAACCTTATACTAAAAAATTTTCTGAAAATTATCTTTATCTAAGTACGGAAAAATCCAGTTGTAACCAAGGTAGTTGGAGTTATAAATGCCAATGATCAATGCTCAAAACTTTCAAGGCGGTTCTGTGAAATGCGCATATCAATTTCATCGTCATCGGAGGCGGATCAAATCAGACTTGTCGAAAGTGACAATACCATTATCTATTTCCAATTTTAAAGATGTAATGCAAGAAGTGGGTTGATTCTGTTGTGAAATAGAATACCTGTAATGATTTAACTCTTTGCAATTAGCCAATGACCGCGAACAGAAAGTTTCGTGCCGTACGTTTATATACAGTACAATAATAACTAGATTTTCAAGCGAATGAATAGATAGATCGAATAAACGTGTCCGAAATTGTGCGCGGCTTTAATCTGTAAGTGGTCAATCGCGCAGGTGAATTGCCTGATGGACACAGGCACTATACTGTATGTGTATTTGGTGACACTAATACATAAAATGCCAATAGTATTTTTCAAGCAGATGCACAGGTGAATCAAATGAGCTTGTACGATATTGTTTGCGTGTATCTTGTATGAGTGTAAATTATCGCCCAGTGTTAGAAACATGTTGCTCGATAGATATAAGCAATTTACCAGTTTATATATTATGTGTACTTGGTAGCTCATACGTACAATAACATATAAGAGCCGTACTGATAACGCCTGACTGTGCAAGGTTTAAAAGCGGAAAACCAATTGAAAGAAGGAACTATACTGGAAATATTCTCGGACGATGGAGTTATCACCATTAAAAGCCCAAGATATACTACGCTTGTAAAGATGTATTATGATGACTTTACAACATTAATGTATCGCGTTATGTCTACCAGATGGGGGCAGAGCCTCCCTTTGAATGCAGACCCCGATCATTGGGATTACATTGTCTAGCTATTTATCTTGTAATTTTCAGTTCATTTATGTTGTTCAGCATATTGCATAATGATACTTCTGTGTGTGTTTATGTGTGTGCTTTGTCTAATAAAAACAAAAATCAAACCAAAACTCTCCCGCTGATTATTTTATTCATACTTAATAACATATGCGCTCAAACGTGCAATAATAATACACATCAAACGAAATAGTCAACAAGTGAAACAGTAACATATTCTTTGTAAGCATGCCGTAGATAATATAAGTAAAACAAATAACGGACGATGAACAAAATACCCTTCACCTATAAGACCCATATACTACTTGCATAAAACATGAACGCTTAAAAATGATTACATCCCACGCCGCGCAGAACAAGTTTACGCACACCATGCATCTTGGTTTGGTCCTCAACGACCCCCCAGATCTTCTGCTGAATTTGATGGCATGCGCTTATTGCCGCCTCCATAGGGTCCCTGCCTGTGCCAACCTGAAACATAAATTATTTTCCATCACAATTTTGTTTATGAATATTGAGAATACCTTCTAATGATTGAATTATATTATATATATAATTTAATGTAACAGTATATAATATTTGTTATAAAATATCATTTTTTAATTTGATATAATATAATATAATTTATTCTAATATAATATTATGTTATATAATGTATGATACATAATGCAATAATACAGGATAACATAACATAGATTATAACAGATTATGAATGCGTAATATAATAATTCATAATTTACAATTTCAATTTATAATCTTATATTATAATAAATCTAATTTACAATATAATATTATATAATATAATAAACACATAATATAATATATAATATATAATATAATAATATATAATATGTAATATAATAATTTATAATATAATAATACATAATATAATAATAAAATAATATTTAATATAACAATATAATAATATGATAATATTTAATATAATAATATATAATGTAATAATATAATAATATATAATATAATATCATAATGAGATTATATTTACCATTTTATGGAATTCATGAATGTACCATCGTGTAAAGACAGAACACGATCCTTTCAGCATGTTGTGCCCCATTTGCAGATTCAGGCTGTGGAGGGAGCATAGAATGGCTCGATCGAGGGCCCATCCGGCTCTCCACTTCTCGTACAATTGCAGGTCCACAACGCTGGTCGTGTATCGGCGCACTCGCTCAATAAGGTTGAGAATGGCCGTATAGCACACGTTGGTCCAATCGGGATTAATCGACAGGCGTGTGCCGTTACTGCAGAAGTGGCAGAAGTACGTAGCATCCCCTGAAATTATCTAACTTTTATATAAAATATATAATTCGTGCAACGTATATAATTCTTTTTGTAAAGAAAAAAACTGATAATAATATAATACTGTATTAATATGTAAAATAATAATAGTAACAGTGATAATAATGATTTTATGCATACCGCGATTGATGACGATCAATACGGATAGGTGTCCGTATTCTTTATGCGTCTGCGGTTGAGTAGTCTTCAGCGGGATAACACATACAGGCGAGTCCAGAAGCAGCGAGACTACTTCCTTGTCGGTTGACAATCCAAAGCTGTGTGCCAGAGATGGCAAATCCCAGTCGTTAACCCAGAAGTTGTCACGGGCAATATTGTACTTATGACAATACAACACTTTTGCCGTAGGAATGTTGTTCAATCCGGCAATAGCATCGGTAACGGTATCTTGGAGGTTTGTCACAACGGCTCCCGGATACGTAAGTTGGCGCAGTAAACTGAGGCCCTCGACAAAATGCTCCTTCGTGTTCTTGTCCACGCGGGCTTTCTTACACGCAACTCGAAACAGTTCACATTTCGATTCGAAGTGTGTGAACATACTTCCTCTAACACGTCTTTTACATTGAGTACACTGTGAAAATACACGCTTGGTGCTAATGCACTTACGCCCCATTGTATACGCTTTTTTTGAAAATAACGGCTTAAAGTGAAACGATTGTAAGAATAATAATAATAATGAGCGTATCGCACAATGGAATTACTGTAATGAGTGTATCGGAATTTTGTGAAGTGATGCCGCGTGTGTTAATTCAGGTCACTTGGGCACGAGCCAATGTCCAGCCGAACTATAGAAATCGGCGGGCAATAAAACCCACCGCGCTAAACAGCTCAGGCAACCAGCCGTTAGCTTGTTTAAATTTTAAACATGTGCAATTATTACACGCACAAGCAGCGTGTGTGTAAGTGTGTGTGTGCTAGCGCGGCAGGCGATTGACCAGTTTATTGTTTACACTGGTCACTTGTCAGTGTTTAGACTGGCCAGCGCCTGTGCAGTTTTTGCTGGCTATAAGTGACCAGCGGTGTTGCCGGCTAATGCCAGTGTTGCCGGCCAGCGTGGTTGTGCACAGAGGCAGTGTGGTGACTCAGCCGGTCAGCCGTTGTATTGTGCAAACTGGTTGCTTCCACATGAGCCGGTGTGTATATGTGCGTGTATGAGTCACTCGGTATGGCAGATGGTGTGTACTGATAAGATTAATATTAGTTAATATTAATAATTAGGTTTCGCAGCCGAAAGGATGCCGCTCAACCAGGTTCGCAGTCAACAGGATGTTATTCTTCTCCTCATACATCGACCGCATGTCCGTGAACGTCGGCGCAGCAGCCGAACTCGCGGAAAGGGGAAAGTTAGCGAAACATGCCAGGCTGCAACCCAGATACGATTTCGTTGCTGCAGCCTTCGAAATTTTTTTACCTCATGGAGTCGGAACTAAAAAGCTAGTGGAAATGGTTGGAAACGGTATAGTGACTTTAACTTGGCACAAACGGGCGAAAGAGTTTTTTAAGCAGCGAGTATCTATGCAAATACAACGGGAAACGAGATTTGTGTAATGGTACGATCCCCGATCAAGACAGCATAGAGGAAGTATTTCTGTTATAAATCCTGTTATGTTTTGGTGCATAGTTTGTACTCGTATCATGATACTTATTAAAGTAACCTCTGCATTACCCGTGCGTGTTCTTGAGTTCGATGAACCACATGCATCCTTTTGCGTCGGTGCAAGCCTGTTTCATGCGCATCGCCTTGGCGGACTCCTACGGCGCGCCGTGCATGCGGATGGATCTGACTGGCTGCTGGAAGAAGCGCTGCTTAGACGTCAACTAGGGCGCCGAGGATAACGCCGGCTGTATTAACACACCGGGATCGTATCACTACGAATGCAGCGACGGCTACCCTTGTTCTGTTTTCTCTCAACGGCACCATTGCATATTCAGGTTACCTACATGAAAAGAAAACAGTGTTGGAAAAAATAAAAGAATGTTCAAGATAAATTGGTCGAAACGCATTATTATAGTGTTAACGAATCCATGTCCGCCGGTTCTGCGAGTACGAACGGGCTAGCAATTCTAATGCTTTCCTCAAGCAGCATTTTATTTTAGCTGTCGTCAAAGGAAATGCTACGGCTGTTTTGAGTGCATGGCCTTTTAACCCGAGATAGGATACGGATCTTGGCGGTTTTTTTTCATATTTAATTATTAACTAGAAGTAGTGAACCAGCGCTTGCAGTTTATGTTATTTGGTGGCTAGTGCCAATAAAGTCTTTCTTAATTGAGGTCGTAGTCCAGCGACTGGGTGGAGCTCTGAAAAGCACGTCAAGCCTTCTAACACCACTAACTGAGCGCTGATTTTCTTGCGGTATGGATTTTAGTTTTTCATGTACAAGCCGTTTACTTTTTTACAACTAAAGATAACCCGATTACGGAGGTTTCATGCGAGTCGGTGCGCCAGGCAACAAGAATAAACAAATAAACAATAATCAAAAGACGATGAGGGCGAAAGGGTGATACGAAGTATTTAAACGGCGTTTCCGGCGTTTTGTTCACGCAGAGATCCTCCTTGCGGTTGTCCACCATCGCGCTGCAGTCGGCGCCCGTCCAGCCCGGCTGGCACACGCAGACGCTATGATTTGATAGAAACGTCCAGTAATTCCCGAATTAAAAATAAAATAATCCAATATATAAATTCATTAGTGTGCTTCCAAGAGGTCAATGATACCCCTGGCACTTTAATAAATCTGGTACTTAATTACAGTTATCATTTGCCGGTGAGTACAGCCTGTAATAATTATAAACTACTCTTATAATTACTGTATTGGTACTTTACTATTTAATAATAACAATTTATTATTATTATATTATTATATTATTATTATATTATGTTATCATATTATTTCTATTAATATATGATATTATTATTATTTCTATTTCTATTATTAGTATTACTATAAGGATGCATAATTTCTGGGATAGCTGAAGAAGCTCTAGGACAGGAATTTCAGTCCCAAACCTGAATAGCAGAATAAATTCATTTAAATTAAACTGAATCAAGTTGCCAGCGCGCAGCCGATTAGTAGAAATTGGAGAGGAAATAACATAAAAAAATATTAGTCGAGATCTCAGTTATTATGATTACAAATATACGTAGTTCCAAGTTGTTGCCGCGAAGCATGTTAATCGTACAATTTTGTGGCTAATAACTGAAAACGAAAATATCGCGTGTAGAGGACATGTGCGACATTTACTGCTTCATCACCGGCAGATGCAGTAAAGACCGCGGCGGTTAGCCGGTGTGCAGTTGCAGGACGGTCCTAGCCAAGCCACCGGCCGCAATGTAGACCACCTCCGACTAGGACTTATGTCCGTGACTTGCGAGTTATGGCTGTTAGCGTTGTGGACATGGTTGATAACTTTCGTAGCTCAAATGTTTTGGACGACAACTGTTTTTCGAATGCTGAAACGTTTTCGGTCTGGAAGATGGTTAGCACTGCTAAAATGAATAGAAAGGTCGTCGTTACTTGGTCACTAGAACAGGGAAGAGCGCACTGATAACGGACGGGCACCTGGCGAGCATCGTGCAGTCGAAGAGCACGTAGAGGGCTTTTACGTACTTCCAGTGCGAAAACGACGAGGCGCTGGCGATCAAAAGCGAGGGAGCGCATGCTTCTGCATACCGTTTCCGTTTGGTCAGCATCAGTAATCAAACAACCAGCAGTGCGATTAAACCGATTAAAAGGCTGGACAAAGTTTACTTCAGGTTAAATTGGTTGCAATTTGCGTCTTTTTTGTAATTTGCGGTACTCCAACTAGAGTAATCAAATCAATTTAATTTTTTATCAATTAGTACTTTGTTTCGTAAGCTTTAATTATGCAAGTCGATGCACAAGGACGCATGATGCTAAACGCCGTTTAAGCGGTTATATCTGGAAAGATGTCAATATACTGACTGACGGAAACCGTGGTTGCAGGTGTATACCACAAATTACTGTATCCAGCCAGCCAGGCTGCAAACTGTTCGTTATCCTTCGGCGGCAAATTGACAGTCGACCATCCTGCGCCGCCTCTGGTATCGTAAACCTCTATCGTAACGTCTTTCTTGTACCTTGACTGCATGCCGCCGCAGATGTATATTCGATCCTTGATGACGTAAGCAGTATGCCGCCATCTGGGCTGATGAAGTGGTTCAATCTTTTCCCACGTTGTACTACCCAGTCTCAAACGAATACAGTCAGCTGTTGCAGTAAAGTCAACCCTTGCGTCGTCTAAAAGGGGTCGGCCTACTTTACCTTTGCCCGCCCTTTACCTTTGCCTTTTAAGTTTGCCCTTTTCTACTTTACCTTTACCTTTGCCATTGCCGCCGTGATTGCCTTCACCGTCGAAAAATTATCCTTAAAAACAATTTAAAATTGTATCGATCGTTAACTAACCTTTTAAAAATAATTATCGTCGCCATCAGCCGTTTCAAAAATGAGACTTTTTGTGATAATTGATGCATTAAACTTAAGCATGTATTTTTGTGCCGCCCGTCTGGATAATGTTTATCCAGATGGGCGGCAGAAAATCACAAGTTTTCTAGAAAAGTAAACCACTCACAGATCATACTGTCCCAGCCGCCAGCGGAAATATACGGCCTTGTTTCGCTAACCATTTCCACTAATTTTAATTATCGCATTTGTTTGTATAGAAAATTATTGCAGGAATGGACAAAAAATTTGCGCTTATGGTTTACATGTTGTGAACCCTACAAAAAAAGGTAAGTTCTACTGGTGTCACATTTTTGCAGCAGTATGTTACTCCAAGAAATGCAATCGAAGTACAGAGTACTTAATACTTACGCGCGACGTCAAAATCGGAAAACTGACAGGGGGATGGCAATCATGGCGGCAAAGGCAAAGGTAAAGGCAAAGTAAAGGGCGGGCAAAGTGGAAAAAGGCAAAGTGGACAGGCAAAGGCGGGCAAAGGTAAAGTAGGCCGACCCTCTGAAAGCTCTCCGCCCATAATGTATATGTGTCCGCTGACCACGGCCATTGCAAAACCAAAGCGGCTTTCCAGCCGATCTGGTAAGTACTTCCATTCCTTGATCACCGTGTCATACTGGAAGAGGCGGCTCTCAGTAGCATAAAATATCTGCTCACGGCATTTGGCCACCGCTCGTACAAACGTATCAGGGCTATAAAACATAAAAAGCTAGAATCGTTTGATACAAAGACTGCAATGTATGCTGCCCCAACAAAAAGGTCATACCATTGATTTGGTTGAGTTGAAGGTGCAATTTCGCCTGTAGAAATGTTCATTTCTGTGAAGATTCCGGTATCGTCAACGAAATAAGACTTGTCCTCTACCGCAGCCACCATTGTGTACGCATTTTCTCGTTTATCCAAAGAAGGAAATGGGTCGTGTTGATCCCATGTTCCCTCGTCGACATTCCACAAATGGAATTTCACCTTTTTGATGTCATTATGACGTACCAGCTCCCTAATTACAATTTTGTTGCCTGCTACCGCTAACCTGCCATACGGATACCCCTCAAATTTTGGTGCGCCCCGCACCTCTTGAACATTGACAGAGTTAGTCAACGGATCGAATATCATGACGCAGAGATCTTTAGAATCCCTGAGCCCAATAAATACTATGACGTCTTTCTTCGGTAGCTTCTGCAGTAATTCTCTGGCGGATAATCGGTTTGCGCTCCTTGTATCCAAACACTGTCGAATAATGCACGCTAAATCGTCTTCAATGTCGTCGCTCACAGAAGGAATGTAACCGTCGATTATCAGGCGTGCAAACTGGTAATTTTCAAGAGCGCTTCCCGCATCGACGATATTCCCATCCTTTACGAGCTGTTTCTTGGGTACACGTGCATAGATTTCGGCCATCTCCAGAATGATGCATCCCAGGCTCCACATATCTGTTTTTCGTCCTGGTCGCTCCGCTTCTTGTTGGGAGAATTTCCTCAGCATTTCCGGTGACATATAGCGCATTGTGCCACGTAACTGGGCTATATCTGCAGAACAGGTGGCACTCTCTTTCATCTGCACAAGATCGTCTAAATCGCCAATCACCAGTTTCTCGCTCCCACTTGGCCCAATGCTTAAGAGTACATTTTCAGGCTTCAAATCACCATGAATGATGCCCTTTTGATGAAGGAATTCGAGTCCCTTGCCCATGTCCCTTGCGAATTGAAACACTTGCTCCCAGTTATTCAAAACGGTCGCGTTTTTCTTAGCTTCCTTTAAAACCTGAGCAAGATCACCTACAATAATACAACATAAATAAAGTATATAATATACAAAAAACAGAAAACAATTTTTGTAAAAGCAGTTAATAATCCATTTCACTTTTATAATAATCCATTGCCAGCTCCACTGTCACTCCGCCGGAAGAGTTGGTGATGGAGACCTTGTGATAGACAACGAGATGTTTGTGCTTCAGTTCCGTGAGTTGTCGCAATCTTTTCACAGCTGTCTTCCAGTTTTCCTGATCGGCAGCAATTTCAAAATTATTTGCGAGATGCATCACTTTGACGGCTACAAAATCTGGCTCGGAAGGAGTGCGAAATCGAAAGAGCGCTTTTCTGACTTTGGCTTTGTAAACTATTCCAAACGCCCCCCTTCCAATAAAGTCCTTTGTGGTGTAGCGGTACTGAATACGGCTGCCGGTTTCTTCGACTACCCGAGAATCGCTGATACCGTTATCCGCCATTTCCATCAGAATACACAATCGATTTCCGTTTAAGCCAAGGTAAACTTTCCTTAGAAAAATTCTGCTGAACCGCGCTTGCAGCACTCGCACGATTCAGGATTTGAAAGCAGAGAAGATCATCCGCTTAACGTATTGTCTATAGAGTAAAAACTTCAAGTGTCTGTACGGCCTTCTAAAGCCCACTAACTGCTGTAACGAAAATGCAGATCATCATTCGAAGGACGAACTAAACAACTGTAACATTAAACAAAACATCCTTTAGTTCAGCAATTTTGCTGGGTAAGCACATGGCAGAGAAAGTTTACGACTATTGAATTGTCATGATACTATTGATACGCGATGCTGTTTGATAACGCGGCTGATAAGATATCAATGTGATGAGTTTTGCTGCATGTGCTAAGTGACACTGTTTCTTCCACTGATACGAAGATAAGATAATTGCGGAACTTGACAAGTTGTATTAAGTTTTGGGCGTTCGATGGAAAGCTGCCCAAGCCCCTAAACATTTGATCGGTAGTGCCGGAGTTCTGTGTGCAATTGTACATCCAGTGCGGAGAAGTTCTGTTTCATGTCACGGCGTGAGCGTTGTGTGTAACCGTCCAAAACGTCCGGACATCTGAGACTTCCAGCGGACGTTCTGGTGCTTATACGGTTCAAAAACACCACACCCAGATTTTTTAGTTTTTTACCCTTCGCAAAAGGGGTGAGTGTAAATGCTTATCCGCTCGTTTGGGCCTGGCCTTCCATTTGTATCCGGAAGTTTCTGTCAGAGTGTATCAGTACTTCGATGTTTCTTACATTTTGTTCATTTTGCGTATTATGTTTTCACATTTTACTTTTCGGTCTCCGGTATCATCCCTCATGTGCAATGTGCATGGCGCACGTACATTTAGCAAGCGGCGAATCTTCGTTCCCTGGCAGGGATGCGCCAACCTGAACGTACATGCTTATGCACCGCCGTTATTTTATCCCATGTCCGCGTCGTAACCGTCATATTGTGCATTGCCAGTGTCAGCTGCCGATTTACGACAGCGTTCTCAGTTCGTTATTATTCTGTAACTAGCGTTTTCCGAGCTATTTTTGGCTAGTATTTGACACAAACCATTGAAATTCGAAAAAATAAATTTCTATCAGAGTTCGGCGATAACATAAAAAACGAAAACAAAAGCATGATAAAAAATTTTATTGGCAATAGCCGCCCAAATGGCAATAAACGCGAGCGCTGGTACACTACTTAATAGTTAAAAATTAAACATTAAAAAAACAACCAAAATCCTTATCCTCTCTCGGATTAAAAGGCAATGTACTCAAAACAGCCGTAGCATTTCCTTTAACAACAGCTAAACTAAAACGCTGCTTGAGGAAAGCAGTAGAACGCGCTTCGCCCGTTATGTCCCGAATCTTCCGGCCCATGAAATGCAGCATTTCACTGAAAGCAGGGCCAAAAACTCCCAGTGTCTCAATAACCAGCGGATAAAAGAGGTAACCGTATTCCAAAAAGGAATACGTCCGGCGCTTGGAATTTTCTGCCATTTGGGACACACTTCCGGATTTCTTCGCGCTTGCAGCGACGTGGGAATCTGCTACAGTACACCAGCTTGTTACATCCCAAACAAGCGGCCTGCCTTGGCGAACAGGTATCAGCGTCATTCCGTCGGGTCTTTTCCCGTCTGTGCTGGATAGTCCAGTCGGTTCCAGTTGACAAGGGTAACCAGCGCTTTCGCAACAATTTTTTGCGATGCTGTTCATTTCTTTATGCCGCGCCCATCGTCCTTTGGTTGATTTATTGCATGATAGCCCGTGATGACCATTGGTTTCGACTTGTGTACCGCACGCGATGCAATGGTGTGCCACTATAATTATGTGATATAATAAAAGTAAAAAGCAGACTAAACTCTACTGAAAAATAAAATAATTGGATTGTAAGAGACTGGGATTAATATTTCCCGTTACCTCAACATGGTCATTTCTTTCCTCCAGGTTACGACAGCCTATAATTGGCCCCTGCCAAAAGGTCACCGGCCCCGCTCCCTCTTGGCCAGTTAACCTAAACCTTAAATTCCCCGCCACCCTCCGCCTTGTCCCTCGCCCTCGCGAGGCACTCCCTCTTCTTCGTAGATTACGCGCCCGCTTCCGCTCTAACCAGTCACCTAGTTTACGAAAATGGTCTTTGTTTTCAGTGGTTGGGTACAAAGTACAATCTTTCTGGCGACGTACACGAGCCGCAATCCTTGCGGCTCGGCGTCGCGCCCTTCGGAGGGTACGTAGAAGGCGGGCATATATTGCTGGTCGGTGCCTAATGTATAAGACAGGCACCAATCAAGTAAACCCGTCGATCCAATTTCGATTTCGGCTTCAGGCTTTCATCGATGAATCTTTCGTCGTCTTCGACATCCCTTATCGTTGGTCCTCTTGAGTGGTGCTACAGCAGCCTGCCATAGCCAAGAACAACGCTACTGTGCTGCAGCTGCACGGCGCCGATACCGATGTGCATTTTGCCGACACCTACCGCTTGATCGGGATAGGAGAGAAAAATTATCTTGTGTCTGACAGCCATTTTCACTAAACCCTGTGTTTTTGACACTAATTTTTTCCGCTTTCAAAAATTGCCGGGAAATCGCAAACCCCGGGACGTATCAATCTGAAATCGATATTTCGCTGGATTCGTAGTCAATACTAAGTGCACAATTTGCCACTTTGCCTCTGCATGGCGCATTGTAGGTTTTTTCCAGGCTAATCTGAGCGGAACACCTCGTTTTAACGAGTGAATCGTAGTGCTGTAGCATTTTACAAACGGTTTCTCTGTGCGTTGATGCTTTCTAAATGCAAAATCAAATATCATTCGTCTGAATTACAGACGAAACTGACTACTGAGCGAGCGAATAAGTGCATTTTTTCCTATAACATACTCTAAATTTTAGCGAAATACAATGCACAACGGTAATGCGACCGAGATGCAAGCATTATGAAAATCAAAAAGTTATTCCACTCTCTTCGATACACTTCCTCGGTGATTCAAACAGAGGGGTTTTATCAAGATTCTGTGAGATTACAGCGAAACTAAAAAACAACTTTAGCGAAATAAATTAACAAAAGTGAAAACACTACTTAACAAAGTACCTGACGCATGAAAATAATATGATTTGGATTTTGTGCAGATTCGAATTACCTATGCCATAATATAGTGTCATCATCTTCCACCATTGCGAAATGTCTTTGTTGGCCCCTACAAGTACCCAAAAGTGGACCGCCCCGCGCCCTTCTCGCTAGCACCCAGCCGCCCGCTGCTCTCTATCTTGTGTTCAGAGCACACAAAGAAATTGTGTGCTTTAATTGAAATCATCGTCAAGAAGTTGTTGCAGTTGCAGCTGGAGTGTTTCGCAATATAGTTCTCTCGTTATGTACCACCTGTGCAGGTCGCCGATGACCTTTGCGAGCCTACTTATGCGTACATGTAACGACTACGTAGGTAACGCACCCGTATTACAGTGACTTTTATTCAGCAAACACACCCACATTAACAATGTTAATAGGTAATTTAATCCAGGTGCAGGCTGGGAGTCATATGGTAGACTGCGGGACTGCCACTGCCCGACTACTGACTGGTACAGAATGGAGCGGGTCGTTATACATGGGACTAGTCAGGATGGTCAAAGCTGACATGGATGGGGTTGGTGTAGCGAAAAACCACTGCCAGAATGTTTGACGACATTATGATGTAATAGGCCGTCAGCGCGATGTCATATGACCGGGCTGGTATTTGCGTGATTGCACGCCGGTTTCCGGTGAGGTGAGGTGACCAATGCTGCCGTCACAACAGGCCGTTGCGTGTAGTGGCAGATCAAGTCCTGGACTGAGCGCAACCATCACGTTTGCGGAAAGCGATAACGGTCAAGGAGGCAGACTGGTGGGAACGGCGAGGTTAAGGTGGCTATGACCTTTCCGGTATCAACCAACCGGTAAGCAGTGAAGGAAGCGATACCCGTGCGGAGGGTGCTGGAGCGGATGTTGTACACCACCAACAGGCCGGCGATCCCCTTTAATTTGACAATCACTGATCAACAACGGGACGATTCTGCATCGACTACTTGGATTTTACGATGTGTTTTAGTGTAATAAAGCCGACGTCCTGACGATCCGTATCAGGAAAACTGCCATTGCCCGCCAGGGGCGGTAAAGTGCCGGTGTAGTGCGCAGTATATCGGCACCACAGCGCAGTGTGTGGGAACGCAGCTTTCTGTTAAGGGGCGCGACATGCTGGGACTCGGTAGCCGCCTCTGACGTGCACGTTATGTCGTTGAAAACCGGGAGTGTGGCGCAGCTTTGCCGAAAACAGTAACCGACGGAAGTACACTTTTGTCGAGGAACCTTCCCTATCCACTGGCAGTCGAGTTGCTAGGAACATTTAGTACGGTCTCGAGATGATTCATTCTATCGGCTGGAAAACTCACAGAGCTACTGGAGAACCTCTCTACAGTGTATGGCGCTTTTGCCACAGCGGTGAACAGCGGCTGAATTAGCAATTTGTAACTTACGAATACAGTATTTTCCTTCCGTTTTTTTGCAGATTAGTACTGCCCAAAAAGTTTCCGCATGCCGTCTAACTTTGCAGTGCAGATCATACACAGTATCTATAATATTATGCCCTACGGGAAGCAGTTTAAAACAATAATTTTCTATATTATGGATTTTTCTGACGTAAGCACGGGAGGAGAGGGGTGCTGATTGCAGCGATTCTTCACTTTGAAGCAAAGCGATATTAATCGGCACGGAGAGAGAATTGTCACATTGCCGAACTTGTGTTTGACGCTCAGTTTCGATAAATTAATGTGTACAAGTGCTACTCGTACCTGTCTGATAAGGATACTGCCGTAACATTGATTTGTCGCGGATTTTCGTTCTAAAGTAGTTCGTTCCAAAGTCAGTTTTGCAGGGTTGATTGCGGCTCATACAATTACACTTATATGCCTTGCCTTTAAAGTATCCTGCTGGTCTGTATATATACTGTATTCTCTGGACCTCTGTACAGATTCCACTTCACTCCACCATAGAAATTAAAATGTGTAAAGCTGGAATCACGAAATTATTTTTATAATGACTTGAAGGTGCAGTTGAATATATCTCCAGAATACTACTGGCGGCGTTTTACCTAGTCTTCGTAAGCCCGGTTGCGGCTGAAAGTGCAGATATATTCCGGCTAGCGGTTTTAATAGTGAAAAGTATGACTATTGTTTCTATCGGTGCTGCACGTCTTTCTGTCCATGACTACAACCGAACGAGATCAGTTGGTCCGCGCTTCCTGTTTGGTAATCATTAATACCACCATGGTCCACCAAGTCGATTACACCGAATAAAAGGCTTCGAATTTACTTCTTGTGATTGATTTATTCGGGCAATAGCCTATTAACAGAACAGCAAGCCTGCGCTGGTAGATACTAATTAAAGATTCCGAATTTACACATTGAAGAAACAACCAAAATCATTGCTGTCATTTCCAACTTTCGATCGTGCATTTAATGTACCCAAGACAGCGAGACTGAAACGTTGTCTTAGGAAGGCAGTGGATCGAGATTCGCCGGTTAAATCGCGGATTTTCCAACTGACGAAGCGCATCATCTCAGCAAAGGCAGGCCCAAAAGTTCCATACGTTTCTATTGTTGAACTGATTGTGCAATTTGCACACGTAATCTTTTTGGTAATGTTGTAAGTACTTACCATTAGGAAATATACCTTACTTGTCATTTGACACTTAGCTTCATAAGCTTTAATTGTACAAGTTGATGCACAAGAACGCATGGTGGTGAACGCCGTTCAACCACTTATATCAGGAAAGATAGCAATATCCGGATTGACGGAAACCGTGGTTACTGCATACCACGAATTTTGGTATGCAGCCATCCAGGCGGAAAACTGTCCGTAGTATTTTGATGGCAAATTGACAGAAGACCATCCTGCACCGCTTTTGGTATCGTAAAACTCTATCGTTACGGCGTTTTCATCTTCAGAATGGCTACCTCCGCAGATGTATATTCGATCTTTGATAACACAAGCAATATGATTAAGTCTAGGCTGATGAAGCGGTTTAATCTTTTCCCACGTTGTGCTACCCAGTTTCAAACGAATACAGTCAGCTGTTGCAGTATAGTTCAGCGCAGCGTCGTTCCAAAGCTTTCCACCCATAATGTATACGTGTCCGCTGACCACAGTCATTGCAAAATCGAAGCGCTCTTGTAGCCGGCGTTTTAAATATTTCCACTCCTTGATCAACGTATTATACTGGAACAGTCTGTCTTCAGTAGCGTAAAATATTTGCTCACGGAATTTAGTCACGGCATCTCCATCGAGGTAAGGGCTATAAAGTGTCAAAGCTTGAACTGCTTGGTGTTATGACTGCAATTTATGCCCAAAAAAAATGGTCGTACCTTTTATTGGCTGTGATGTTGCCAGTAAAGATGTTTATTTCCAATAGCATATCGTCTAGTCCCCATAAATAAAGCGTGTCTTCTACCGCGATCATCGTTGCACCCGGATTTATATAATAAGGGGAAATAAACTCCTGTTGAACCCATATTCCTTCGTCGACAGACCAGCAATGTACTTTCACCTTTTGGACGCCAATATGACGTATCCGTTCTCTGAATATGATTTTGTTGCTTGTTACCGCCAACTGCCACTTTGTTGCCAAATCCATTTCTGGTGCACCCTGCACCTTTTGGACAATGACAGAGTTAGTTAACGGATCGAATATCATGACGCAGAGGTATTTAGAATCCTTGAACCCTAAAAATACGATGATGTCCTTTTTCTGTAGTTTCTGCAGTAATTCCCTGGCCGATAATCGATTTGCGCTAGTTGTATCCAAACACTGTCGAACAATGCATGCTAAATTATCTTCAATATCGCCGCTTACAAATGGAACGAAACCGTCGATTATCAAGCGTGCATACTGGTAATTTTCAAGAGCGCTTCCGGCATCGACAATATTCCCATCCTTTATTAGTTGTTTGTTGGGAGCACCTGCACAGCTTTCGGCCATTTCCAGAATAATGCATCCCAGACTCCACATATCTGTTTTTCGTCCTGGTCGCTCTGCCTGTTCTAGGGAAAATTTTCTCAACATTTCCGGTGACATATAACGGGTTGTGCCTCGTAAATGAGATAGCAAGTAGCACTCTCATTCATTTGCACCAGATCATCCAAATCGCCAATCACCAGTTTCTCGCTGCCCCTTAAAACAAAGCTCACAAGTATATTTTCAGGCTTTAAATCGCCGTGAATGATGCCTTTTTGATGGAGGAACTGAAGTCCCTGCGCCATGTCCTTTGCAAACTGGAACACTTTTTCCCATTTATTCAAAAGAGCCCCGTTTTTCTTAGCTTGTCTCAAAAACAAAGCAAGATCCCCTGCAAAATCGTTTGCGTAATAACGAAAGCAGTACAACTTGGCAAAAGAACTTGGCAAAAGCTCTTTAGATCACCTTTACGATAATCCATTGCCAGCTCCACTGTCGCTCCGCCTGACGATTTGGTGATGGAGACTTTGTGATAGACTAAGAGATGTTTGTGCTTCAGTTCAGTAAGTCGTCTCAATCTTTTCGCAGCTGTCATCCAGTTCTCCTGGTCGGCATCGCTTTCGGAATTAATTGCAACGTGTATCACTTTGACGGCTATAAAATCTGGCTCCCAGGTGCGTGCCTTCATGATTTTGGCTTTGTAAACTACTCCAAACGTTCCCCTCGCAATAAAGTCCGTGCTATTGTAGCGGTATTGTATACTGCTGCCAATTTCCTCGACTGCACCGAAATCGCGGATGCCTACACCTTCCATTTCCGCAATTACGGGATTATATCAACTGTTACCAAAATAAAAAGCAGGTATGCACGTTGTTCAAAGGACGAATTACAGATGACTATGAACACACTGTTTTAACGTAGTTCAGCAAGAATGCTAAACCCAGTAGACTGTACGAAGCAGTTCTGTACGAAGCAAACTGCTTCGAACTGCTTCGTATAGTTTGGCATTCTTGCTGAACTACGCTTTACGATTTGCTGTACGGCAAAGAAGCTTGCTATTGATGAGTTGTACACCGCGCCGGGCAAGATACGCGACAGTGATAGCGCGAACTGATAAGATACCGTCAACGTGATAAGTTTTACTGCTTGTGCTAAGTAATATTATTGTTGCTTCTGTAGCGAAAGTAGGATAAGATTACAGTAATGTAACCCACACTTGACAGGCGTGAAGTTCTGACTTGTGTTCCGTTTTCTCCATTCGATCGATGCTTCCCAGTCCTATACCCAAGCAAATGGTCAGAACCAGAAATTTGTGAAATTTACGTGAGCCTATTTGATGTTGCATAAAGGGGGGTACGGGCAATACGTTGCGTGTAGAAGCCGAGCAACAAATTAAGCATAAGCTATTACAGCGAGAATAACAAATTTGCGCCCAACATCGACTGGTTACAACGGCGCTCCACGCTGCACTATTTAAACACGTTTCATGCATTTGGCGTGGGGGTGTGCTGCAAATACGAGAAATATGCAAGACACCAGATATTTAAGGGAGTGGCCCGGTACACGGCACCAATATTCGTGTTCATGCACGAAAACTTGTGCTTTCGCGCACTCCCAAACAAATTCTTGTTTCGGTTTATGACATTCTGTAGCCAGAAGATTTGTATACACTGACGTGAAAACCGTTTGTGGCGCAACATTCGGTTCGGGAGTTATGGCTGTTAGAAAATACCAAAAAGTTTAAATGCGTTCCGGTGTACCAAAAGTCTCATTATGGACCGATCTCCCTCAAATTTTGCCCATAAATGCACATAACCACGAAGAACGTTTTTACACCGATCCACTGTTCTAGCATGTTTTTCAAATTTTAAAATGAATTTCAAAAATTTTAAAATTTATTTTAAAATCTAACTGCGGAGCGCAACTTGTTGTTGCGATAAATGTAATGCCGGTGCAATCATTTAGAGCTTGTACTCGCTTGTACTCTGCACCGGCGTGCATTGTACCGGCGTAAATACCACCAATCCGATTACACCTAATAAAAGGCTTGAAGCAGTTTACTTCGTGTTGAACTGACTTTGTGATTTGTGTTGTAGGGAATCTTTTGGTAATGCTGTAATTAGAGCAAACGTTGTAACTAGAGTAAATGTACCTAGAGCAACTAGGTAACTAGAGTAGAGTTAAAGTTATAATGTTTTAAATTTGTAATAAGACTAAATTCTGCTTGCTGTTAGACGCATAATTCACAAGCTCTGACTCTACAAGCTGATGTAAAACAACGCATGATGCTAAACGCCACTTTGCCTTTGTCGCCGTAATTGAAAGACCTTGCACAGTGTGGAAGCGACAACCACATAACGACCACGACACAATCTGTAAGAGCACTCTTTACCTCAAAACCTGTTATGGAGGAACAGTGGATGGAAAGACTAGATGGCCTAACTACGAAAAAGTCTGGAACCTGGAATCCATGCTGCAAATACGAGAAATATGCAAGAAGATACGTTTATGCGTTACCTGTCTTCACGCTGATGGTAGCAACGCGACAGAGAGATCCATCAAGGTGGTACTGCGCATGAAGATCGAAGAAATGACGAAAGGTCATGGAAACTACTGAGAGTTAAAGTTCACCCCGTCTCAAAGCCAGACTATACAAAAGATAATAGTGGAAGCCCTTGAAGTAAGGGAGAACCGGAGACTTAGGTAAAAAGGTCACCAAGAGGTCTTATAGCAAATCCTCATTCAAAAAAGGATACCAGAGCAAACCGTGAAGTCAGGCGCTCCGTAGTCAGGCGCCTGGACACACGCACTTCCATCGTTCCCAATCGGAAACCTTTTGGATGATGAGGCTTTTCGCTTTGCCGTCGCAATTCGGCTGGGCGCACCCGCTTCATCTGATCACCAGTGTAAATGCGGAAGCGACGTTGCTGCCGACGGTCACCATGGCTTGAGCTGCAAATTTTCAGCCGGAAGACGCCCTAGACACGACTGCATTAACGACATCTTGCGACGGGCTCCTGGAGCAGCAGGCATACCCGCAAGGACTGAGCCCAGAGGCATGCAACATGAGTACGAAACACGTCCCGATGGCATCACCACTTCCCATGGACAAGGGGACTATGTTTGGCATGGGTTGTCACCTGTGTTGACACTGTCGCCCGTCTGAGTTTTAAAGATATGGATTCTGTCGTTTCTGAACAACGGTACGCTAATAAAGAGAATCACTATAGGCAATTCTCTACACCCTCGTCAATATAGGCACCCATTTCCGCACCCAGTATTTTACAGACACCTTTTTCTACTCGTATTTATTAACCCGGCAGCGTCTTCTAGGTGCAAAAAGCACCACTAAAGTTCCTCAATTTTTACCAAACCAGAATAGTCGATATTATTGCAACGATGTATGCATTCGATAGAGCAAAGATTGCTCTTTTCACACAGTATTTTTGTTTTTTGTTGAAACGCACTAGAAAACAGCCACAGTGCTTAAAAAACACTGCAAAATTTAAGAAAAGTTCTACGAAGTGTATATAAATCAGCGATTATGCCAGAAGACTGATATTAAATCAGTATCAACTTCATAATAATATCTCGAAGCTCCAGTTATCCAAAAAAGTTTACAGCTCCGATGTAAAAAACAATGCATTTTCAAAAACGGCTGGTGCAAATTGCACCACTTGGCCATTGCCGGGTAGCAGTAACATGCTGCCTGAACAGGCAGAGTGATCAGAGCCGCATACTCATATGATGCAGCCGTTGCTCACTTATGAATAGTCGAGCATAACTCTGGCAGTTAGCTGATCGATTAACAAAGCAAATGAGGACACCTGATTGATTCTATAATTCAAAGAGCAGTAGAAAATCGTTTTCCTGATTATATTATAATGTTTTCTTCGAGTGATATAGGAACAATAACAATAAAAAGACGTTGTGATTGAACAGCCAGTCAACAATATGGCTGACCGTGCACAGTTTCGTGCACAAGTGAACTGGCGCAGCCCATACCGACCCTGTTACATACCGACCGGAAGTTGCAAATGTTTCAGTTTTAAATTCAGCCGTGAACCTGTGGACGATGAATTAATGCGCACAAGCTAACTATTACCAGGACCTATCAAATGCAAACAATTTCGAGTAAATCGGACTGTCACAAAGTTGTGTACGAAGTAATTTGTTCCATGTCGCACAGGCAACCACCTTGCCCACACCATAGAAAAGCGCTGCTGTCATGCCCAAGTGGTGCAATTTGCACCTAGCCTTTAAATTTTAAACTACTGCAGCAAAAATTTTGAAAAAATTAATTTTAGTTCATTATATTATTGTTATTCGATGGTATGAATTTCAACTTCGACAAAAAACTCCTTGATACCCCGGGCACTGCCAGGTTAAAAAGAAACACCCGATTAATGTAATTCTTCATTTTAAACGCTCAAGAAACTTCACTTATTACACAGCATCAACTGACTCATGCGGCCTAATCACAGAGAACATTTGATCTAAATTTGCCCCCATCGGTGCCGTTCCCAAGATAGATGCCGCATTGCCTCGTTGGATTTCGATGCTGATACGCTGGCGCAGGAATTCTGTGGCCCGCTTTTCGCCGGTTTCCTGTTGAATCTTCTGTCCAACTACTGTCATCATACGAGTTGCTTCCGGTTCGGGCGGTCAAACCGTCTCGAAGCCCAAGGCGCTGAAAAGGTAGTTCGGAGTGATGTCCCGGTATTTTTCCGCCTTGCTTTGCTCGGCCTGTGCTGCCGCCGCTCCCGCACGTGTAGACGTTGCCACGATGTGCGAAATGGCCATGGTGTTAACACACGTGGCGTCCCATGCCAACATTCGCCCTCTTTCCCATGGTGTCAGCGTAACACCGTCAGGGCGCTTGTTACTTGTTGGGCAGATACCTTGTGGCTCCAATTCGCTTTCGAAGCCGGCGGAGGCGAGACTGCGCTTCCAGATAGCATTCAGACATGTAATTTGTAGGCAACCTCTTCAATTCGTTTTTGTACATACATACTTCGATTACAGAATTTGATTATAATTTCATGTGCGTGCGTTGTCTTAAAACAGTGCACTTGCATACAATCATGTATTCCATCCGATTACCGAGCGGTGACGTTGATCTGCTGATTTAGATCCAGTGAGAATGGCTTTGTCAGCAGTAATTTTGATGTTTCGTTTCGAAATCATAATTTCGTTTGCCGTTTCTTTTTATACGCCGGCCGCGAATGACCTCCTCGTTGTTCAGCGCTTTTGCTAACCATTATTTACATAACGCTTTTAGCTTTGAAATGTCTGATAAAAAGTTACGAGAACGCTACGTTACACAATACTTAAAAGAACATAATAATATTATTACTATTAAAGTTACTGTATTGTAGTGTATGTGTGTACACGTACAAATGTTGTACGAGTATTTCGTGAATCTGGATGATGTCCTACGGATAAGGCGCCGTAGGAACGGGATAGCAATATCCAGTGTTGTTGTTAAGTTTGGAGTTTAGTTGTATAATTGGCTGGGTAGCGAGCAGTCTAATGAACTAATGAATACACCGCTGCTATATATATATATCTCACGTACCTAGGTTCTGAAGCTATAGTTATAAGCTAAAGCTGCAAGGGGTGCCCATAAAGAACAGGGTGTACGAAAGAAGTTAATTAATAAGATAAGAGCGCCTTTAGTTAACGGGGTGCGGACAAGGGATGCCTATGCAAAAAAAGGGGTTTTCGGAGAGCCTACAGTGTCACCCAATATAAAAAAACCAAATTTGATTTCTTAACAAAAAGAGACCTTCCGTTTCATGTTCTCAGGTAATGCATTTCAGACTGCCTTAGTGCTCTACTTGTCAGGTGCTAAGGCTAGCAGCTAGTCTTGCTTAGGTCGTGAATGACGGATGGGTTAGTGCACGACCGACGGACAGAAAAGATTGCAGTTAGCCTTAACACACGGCGCCTTGGCTTCGATACTAAACCT